AAATAAATGATAAAATTATTTTATTTATCATTTATTTTTCGAATTTTATTTATGATAAAATTCGAAAGTAGTGTATTTTTCGAAGACACATCTTTTTATTTTTTGAAAAATGTGGTTATCATAACTTCGGACTGTGTGGTCTAGAAGTGGTGAATTTTAAGGAAACATTCAACATAAATTTTATAAACATATTTAATATTCAAACATTTGTATTTAAGCCTCTAAATGCACAAATAAATCAAGATGTGTTATTTCAAAAGACACATCTTTTTTTATTTTTTTTTCTATTTTCCTTCTTTAATTTTAAACTTTAACGTTTTTGGCTAAAAAAACAGGATTTTTATAAATGAATTAAACATATAAAATCTCCAATAAATCAGTTGAAGTTCGGGGCTGTTATTTTGACTGGAAATGGCGGAAAGAAACGGAAGACGTGTTGCTGCTTGACGTTGCGCCATTGACACTTGGGATTAAAACAGTTGGTGGTGTGATGACGACACTTGTCCCACGAAACTCGACGATTACAGCAAAGAAGTTACAAATATTCTCGACATATGCAGACAACCAACCAGGCGTCCTCATCCAAGTTTTTGAAGGCGAAACATCCATGACATCACACTGCAACCTGCTTGGCAAGTTTGAGTTGTCTGGCATTCCACCCGCACCACGTGATGTCCCACAAGTCGAAGTCATATTTGACACAAATGCAAATGGGATATTGAATGTCTCAGCTGAAAACAAGACAACAGGAAAGAAGAACAAGATCACAATCACAAACGACAAGGGAAGACTCTCAAAGGAGCAGATCGACAAGATGGTTGCAGACGCAGAGAAGCTCAAGGCGGAGGACGACAAGATGAAGGAGCTTGTCGAGGCGAAAAATGGACTTGAGAACTTCTGCTACTCAATGAAAAACACAATCAACGAGCAAATTGCAGCAAAGCTCTCACCAGACGACAAGGCGGCAATTATCAAGGAGACACTCGACTGCCTCGACAAGAACCAATTGGCATCAAAGGATGAATACACACAGAAACAGAAGGAAGCTGGGGCTAAGGTAGAGCCAATATTTATACAGATATCGACAGAATAAAACTGGAACATCAAGGAGTTTACAACAAAAAACCAACGAATAACAAAGGTTTTATTAAAAAATACGCTTTTCTTCTGTGTTTATTTACAGTTTTCTACAAAATAATTGAACAGAACATCAATTATACTGTTTAATACATTTATGGTTTTTAATTAATTATATTAAATAAACTCCATAATAGTCACATTTGATAATTATTCATTTTAAGAATTAAATATAATCACAAAGAGTAATTGAAGTGTTCTTATGGTGGGTTTGGTTTAAATTGTATTCAAAATAATAGTAAATATAATAATTTGTTAAATTAAATAAATATTATTTAAAATGTGATAATTTGTAATAGTAAATATACTAATGATAATTAATTAAATCATACTATATATATACAGACTGTAAAAGTAAAATAATTAAATGTTGTTAATAATTAACGTTACTATTAAATCTATTATAATATATTATTACTTATCTATAGCTTTTTTGTTAATAATTAACTATTGTTTTCTTTTATAATGTTAGTATAGTATTAGTTTTAATATAATTTCCCAAAACAATTACTGTGAAAAGAAACACAAATAAAAACCATAATAAATAATTAATTTTAATTATGATAATAGATTAGTTTCTTTGTTATCAAACATTTTAATAAAAGATGATTTTGTATTCTTATTTACTATAATGATATTAAATTGTTATTAAATTTTTGATTATAAGAAGTTCAATTCTCGTTGTTTTTGTTTTATTATTGTCAATATTAATGATCTTAAAATCAAAAATCAATCTGTAAAACAGAAAATTGTTTTCTAATTCATTCTTTTTGGCCATTGAAAATTCAATTTTTTTCATTACTTTTCCAAAAATTTTTCTTTTAAAAAATTTGTTTATTTTCTTTTTTGACCATTTTTTGGAAAAAACGTATTGCCACATAGGCTCGTGCAGGTATTTCGCTTCTTGCAAGTATTTCGCAGGTCTTTAATTAAAATTTAAGATCACAATTTAGAATATTTAAATTAACCAAAAATCGATAATTTCAATGTTTCTGTTCTTTTGTCTAACATGCTTTAGTATTAAAACTTATGCTAATGTTTGTACATCAGAACCTCCTCAAGCAAATTGTGATATTTGCAGCGAAACTGATACGAACAAATGTGTTATTTGCAAAGAAGGGTATTATTTAGACAGTTTAAATTTCTGTACCCCGTCTGTGGCATGTCAAAACCCTCAATCTAGATTGTGCTTGAAATGTGAAAAAGATGGAACAACTTGTGGTGAATGTGCCGAATGAAGCTTTATTAATAAAGGTGGATGTGTTGCATGTAATATAAACTGTGGGAAGTGTGATCCCGAATCCCAAACGTGCTATAAATGTAAAACTGATTACAACGGATATATAAAAGGAAGTGAATGTATTTTATGTTATGAAAACTACAACTGTTTAACTTGTGCTGCAGACCAAACAGATACTAATGGAAAATGTTTAACATGTAATAAATTAAGTCCATATAAATATTTGGACGGCAACAAATGCAGTGATTGTTCAAACGGAAAAATAACAATTGATGCCACTTGTGACTCAAAAGATGGTGCAATAGGGGCAGATTGTTTGTCTTGTGTTGATCTGAGTGATGGCACTTCTGGTAAATTTTATACAAAATGCAAGAAGTGTAAAGATACAAAAAAGTATATTTCACTCGAAGGAAAATGTGTTAATCATTGTTCAGTCGGAAAACCAGTTGAAACACCAATTAAAAACTGTGAAAATTGTTCTACTGAAAATTGTGAAACTTGCGATAAAAATGATAAATGCAAAAATGCATTGAAGGTTATAATCCAGTTGATGAAAAGTGCAATTGAGCTTATAAAATTGTATCTATTTTGGTGTTCTTTTTATTGGCTCTGTTGTTCTAATAAGTAAGTGATTTATTTTTAACACTTGTATTACAATTGTGTTTCAATATTTGATATTTAAAATAGTGTTATGGTTACTTAACCACAATTTAAAACAATATTTCAATTTTGTAAACTTAAATCAAATTTTTATTCATTGCAAATTTGTCGTGTTGTGTTTTTTTACAACCTTCAAAAATGATACCACGTGTATAATTTGAATAATTTGTAACAATATTTTTAACGTTTTTTAGTCATAACAAGCATAATCCCCGTATGTTACAAAATCTTTTGGTATTTCAATTTTAATTCGATATTATATAATAGGTGGTTTGAGTTTATTTACTATTTTTTTAAAAAAAAATATTCATTAAAAATAATTAACAATAAAATAGTGATATTGTTCACTGTTTTTATTCGTTCAAACATCCATTAGTTTAATATAATAATTAATTATTATTTTAAAAAAAATTTAATTTTTATTTACATTTTAGTCATATTTATAATAATATTTTAATTACTAAAACCAATTGATTTTACTATTAATTTGCACGAATAGTGGGTGTTATTCAATAAAAACATGTTAGAAATTTACACTTAACTATATTAATTTATAAAAAACAACAACATAAACCAAAGTAATTTCTTTTATCTTTTAAAACAAAAATTTGTCTTTAGTTATTATGACAACATTTTTATCTTCAAAAATTATATTCTCTTCTCCAACCGAATTATAAAAACAAAATCTCCCAACACTTCTCACATTTTTGGGAACAAAAATTGTTTGCACCTCTTTATATTTTCTGAAACAATTATCACATAGTCCAACAACATTGTTTGGAATTTTTCCAACTTTTTTGCCGTTTTCAAAAACGATTTCTAAGTGTTTTTTGACGTCTTTTCGAGTAAAGAAAATAGTATCACAACAAACTCCGTTTTTTGTCAAATTGTGAGCTATTTTGTATGTGACGGGTAAACTCACTTTAGTTGCCTCTTTCCCATTAACGTAAAATTCCTTTAACATTTTGCACTTGTCGAATATATCAATTTCGCATTTTGGTATTTGTCGTCCAAATGTCACTGCAATTAGATTTTCACAATTTTTGAATGCGCCATTACCAATTTTTATGACAGACTCTGAAATTTCGATGTTTATTAAACTTACACAATTCTTAAAACAGTACCCTCCTATACTTTCAACTGTATTACCAAGTTTGATTGTGGATAAATGAAAACAATTCAAAAACGCGTGTGTTCCAATTGAAACCACATTGTTTGGAATAATAATACGTTTTAAATTTTTCATATTTTCAAAACTCGATTTTTTAATTTCAGTGACACTCTCAGGAATGATAATTTCTTCTAAATTGCAATTTGTAAAAGGTCCGTTATAAGTTGTACACGTGGAAATATTTTCACAAGTGTTTTTGATGTTAATTGAAGTGAGTGAATAACATGAATCAAACACACCACTTACTGAATAAACAAAAGCTGGAACATCAATGCTCTTTACGTTTTCACAATTTGAAAATGCGGAACTGCCAATGTCAACCAAACTTATTGGAAGAACAATTTGTGAAAAATTGATGCAATAATAAAACGCAAATTTTCTGATTGATTGAAGTGCTTGTGAAAATGTGAC